CTCTATAGGTATATCCAGAAGAATTTGAACATATCCAGCGGAGGCCCCTGGATGGCAAACGTCAGTCCAAACGAAATGGCCTTCAGTGCCTTGGAGCAGGCCCCAGCAGGACCTCTCCAAACTGAATGAATGAGCAGGAAAGTAGCAGCTGTGGTCCCATGTAAGCAAGTTACAGTATGCACAGTAGGGCAAAAATAAAAATTATTCCCATCTTAATTTCCCATTACATACATGAGCATAGGTCAGTTTATGGGGTCTAAATTGGCAGTGAGTGTCAGTGGCTGAGCAGGAATGGGACCTCGGGGTCAGATGAAAATGCAGACTCTGAGAAAGGCAGATTCCATGCTAGAGAACATTAGGAAGTGGGTTGAAAATAAAACTGCCCGTCTCATTAATGCCTTTATACACATAGAATCATAGAATCATAGAATCATAGAATCATAGAGTTGGAAGAGACCACAAGGGCCATCGAGTCCAACCCCCTGCCAAGCAGGAAACACCATCAGAGCACTCCTGACATATGGTTGTCAAGACTCTGCTTAAAGACCTCCAAAGAAGGAGACTCCACCACACTCCTTGGCAGCAAATTCCACTGTCGAACAGCTCTTACTGTCAGGAAGTTCTTCCTAATGTTTAGGTGGAATCTTCTTTCTTGTAGTTTGGATCCATTGCTCCGTGTCCGCTTCTCTGGAGCAGCAGAAAACAACCTTTCTCCCTCCTCTATGTGACATCCTTTTATATATTTGAACATGGCTATCATATCACCCCTTAACCTCCTCTTCTCCAGGCTAAACATGCCCAGCTCCCTTAGCCGTTCCTCATAAGGTATCGTTTCCAGGCCTTTGACCATTTTGGTTGCCCTCCTCTGGACACATTCCAGTTTGTCAATGTCCTTCTTGAACTGTGGTGCCCAGAACTGGACACAGTACTCCAGGTGAGGTCTGACCAGAGCAGAATACAGTGGCACTATTACTTCCCTTGATCTAGATGCTATACTCCTATTGATGCAGCCCAGAATTGCATTGGCTTTTTAGCTGCCGCGTCACACTGTTGGCTCATGTCAAGTTTGTGGTCAACCAAGACTCCTAGATCCTTTTCACATGTACTGCTCTCAAGCCAGGTGTCCCCATCTTGTATTTGTGCCTCTCATTTTTTTGCCCAAGTGCAATACTTTACATTTCTCCCTGTTAAAATTCATCTTGTTTGTTTTGGCCCAGTTCTCTAATCTGTCAAGGTCGTTTTGAAGTGTGATCCCGTCCTCTGGGGTGTTAGCCACCCCTCCCAGTTTGGTGTCATCTGCAAATTTGATCAGGATGCCCTTGAGTCCATCATCCAAGTCATTGATAAAGATGTTGAATAAGACCGGGCCCAAGACAGAACCCTGTGGCACCCCACTAGTCACTCTTCTCCAGGATGAAGAGGAACCATTGATGAGCACCCTTTGGGTTCGGTCAGTCAGCCAGTTACAAATCCACTGAGTGGTAGCATAGTCAAGACCACATTTTACCAGCTTCTTTACAAGAATATCATGAGGCACCTTGTCAAATGCCTTGCTGAAATCAAGGTAGGCTACATCCACTGCGTTCCCTTCATCTACCAGGCTTGTAATTCTGTCAAAAAACGAGATCAGGTTAGTCTGACATGACTTATTTTTCAGAAATCCATGCTGACTATTGGTGATCACAACATTCCTTTCTAGGTGCTCACAGACTGTTTGCTTAATGATCTGCTCCAGAATCTTCCCTGGTATTGATGTCAGACTGACTGGGCGGTAATTATTTGGGTCCTCTCTTTTCCCTTTTTGAAAATAGGGACAACATTTGCCCTCCTCCAGTCTGCCGGGACTTCGCCTGTTCTCCAGGAATTCTCAAAGATGACTGCCAGTGGTTCTAAGATCACATCTGCCAGTTCTTTTAATACTCTTGGATGCAGTTCATCTGGCCCTGGAGACTTGAATACATCTAAACTAGCCAAGTATTCTTGTACTATCTCCTTAGTTATTCTGGGCTGTGTTTCCTTTGCTGAATCATTTGCTCCAAATTCTTCAGGTCGGGCATTGTTTTCTTTATCGGAGAAGATTGAGGCAAAGAAGGCATTGAGGAGTTCAGCTCTTTCTGTGTCCCCTGTTTGCATTTCACCATCTTCTCCTCTGAGTGACCCCACTGTTTCTTTGTTCTTCCTTTTGCTACAAACATACCCATAAAAGCCTTTTTTGTTGCTTTTAACCTCTCTAGCAAGCCTGAGTTCATTCTGTGCTTTAGCTTTTCTGACTTTGTGTCTACACGTGCTGGCTATTTGTTTGAATTCCTCTTTGGTGGTTTCCCCCTTTTCCATTTTTGTACACATCCTTTTTAATCTTAACTCAGTTAAAAGTTCTTTAGATAGCCACCCTGGCTTCTTTAGGCACCTTCCATGTTTCCGTCTCATTGGTATTGCCTGACGTTGTGCTTTTAGTATCTCCCTCTTAACAAACTCCCAGCCATCATGAACTCCCTTTCCTTTTAGTATTACTGTCCATGGGATCTCACCCAGCAAGTTGGATCACTTGGAATAACAAATTCAATTCTGCCCACCTCACCTCAAAAAAAGTGTTGCAGAGTTGGAAAAAGTTCAGAAAAGGGCAACCCTAATGATCAGGCAGATGATCAGGCAACCCTAATGATCAGGCAGATGGAGAGACTCCCCTGTGAGGCAATGTCATGGCATTTGGGGCGTTTTAGGTTTGAGAAAAATTATGCTGGATGTTTCCCCCCCCCTCATTTTACTAGAGCCTGGGATCATCCATTGAAGCTGAATGCTGAGAGAGTCAGAACAGACAGAAGGGAAGACTTCTTCACGTGCACATAACTGAACCCTGGAACTCACTGCCACAAGGTGTAGTAGTGATGGCCACCAACTTGGCTAGACAAATTCATGGAGACAAAGGCTATCAATGGATGTGTTCTACCCCAGTGTCAGAGGCTTCCCATGGGGGCTGGGAAAGCTGGTTGGTCACTGTGAGGCGATGGACTAGATGAGCCCCCATTGGCCTACTCCAGCAGGCTCTGCTTCTGTTCCTATGTAGACTTCAGGAGGAAAGAAGAAGTTCAGTGCTTGCAGAACAGCCCCACCACACTCTGCTTGAAAGCTGCTTTCCAGGGGTACCAACTATAGGGGCCCTGGGGGCCCCAGCATCCAAAATGTTTTTGTTGTGGGTGCTCAGCACCCACGCCCCAGGGCCCCTGACAAAGCACCAGAAGTCATGTCCAAGGCCTCGCAAGACCAAGGAACTTGACTTCTGGTGCCACTGGAAGTCAAGTTTTAAGGCCGTGGGGCACGTGATGTCATGCTGTCATGGTGTGTGTGCTGGGCACCCATAAACCGGGGCCCAAGTCGGCTCCCCTGCCCCTTTTCATGCCTGAGTGGCTGCTTGGCCTTGTGCCTGATGGAGAGATGGAAGAGCTCAGTGGCCAGGAGCGGAAGGCAGAGGAGGAGGCAGACTCAGCTTCACTGTGATGGGAATTCTCAAGGGTGGGTGGGTTAAAAGTGTCCCAGACCAGGAATGGTGCCCTTTAGCGAATAATGCGGATGCCGTGCCATGGCCTCTGTGAGTGTAAAGCAGGAATGAGAGCCAGAGCCTGAAGGCAGCTGCCAGGGGGAGCTAAAAGCCAGTGGACAAGGAAGCCCAATTCAGGCAAGTATATCTGGCAGAGTTAAGTTGCCTTTTTGACTTGCAACACACAGCAGGGGGGAGGGCAAAGTGGGAACACTCTCCCACAGTGGAGGGCTGGCTTTGGAGCACCTAGCAAACAGATAAGGGAAACATTGCAGATGCTGAGCAGCCATAGGGGAATATATGCATTCTTCATTCTGGGAGAACTGGAGACCTTTCCGTACCTACTGGATCAGAATCTACTCATATGAAGGAATTCAGGGGGACATGCTAACGTCTTTTCTGTCATATCTTTTTCTTTTTTTGTATTTATGTATTATGTAAATTTTATATATTTGAATGATTAACATCATGCATGGAATTATTTTGAGATGTTTTTCTGGTTCATTTATTGACCAGTCTGGGTTTCCATTTCTTTCCTAAAACCCCAGGCTGAGGTTCTGCAACAAAATCTTGCCAGGTGGGAAAGACAGTGATAGAAACTGAGTCCTGGTGCTTAGCAGCTCCTGTGCATGAAAGCCCTCAATCCTCTCAGTAACCTCTCATGGAAAGGAGGAAGGGCAATGCATGATGGGAGCAGTAGTTTCCAAGGAGCACTGGAATTTTACAATATAAATTTTTCTTTTAAGAGATGTCCAGTAGCACCTTCTTCTGAAGAAGTGTGCGTGCGTGCATGCACACAAAAGCGTATACCAAGAACAAACCTAGTTGGTCTCTAAGGTGCTACTGGACAATTGATTTTATATATATATATATATATATATATATATATATATATATATGGTGGCAATCTCTCTCTCTCTCTCTCTCTCTCTCTCTCTCGAGTTGTTTAGTCGTTTAGTCGTGTCCGACTCTTCGTGACCCCCTGGACCAGAGCACGCCAGGGAGTCTTCTCTTCTCATGAGGTGATATCGATATAGATGATATAGATATAGATATAGATATAGATATAGATATAGATGATATAGATAGATATAGATATAGATATAGATGATATAGATATAGATATAGATATAGATGTAGATATAGATATAGATATAGATATATATCGACTTTTTCTTCCAAAACTCTCTGTGTTTGCCCCTATGGAGCATACCTGCACAGGGGTCAGGGATGGACAAATTGCTCCCTTTCAGTTTCTCTTAGTGTCTCATTTGTTTTAAGTTCAGTTCACCACTTCACATTAAAAAAAGATAATCTTGATGAAAATCATCAGTATTTTAATTTGCATTTCTCCCATATGCAATTATATTTTATGTGATCTTGTGTGTTATACAGGTTTGCAAGTAATTTCCCCTAAAATAGTGCACTTTTGTATATTTTTTACATACTGTACACACTCGTGCGCACGCACACACACACACACACACACATTCTTTTTAATTGTTTTTGAAATTATTTTTAATGCTGTAACCCACCCTGGGACCTTAGGGTGAAGGGCAGGTAATAAATTTTGTGTGTGTGTGTGTGTGTGTGTGTGTGTGGCTGAATTCCAAAATATGCATTGGTAGGCACACTTTTGACCAATATACACATTTTTGTGCACATTTTTTGAGTTGGAGAACTGCATTGCGCAATTCAAACAGGTGCAAATTTTGAAGAGAGCTGTGCTTATATATGAGCTGTATAGACAAGGGAAAGAAAAAACATTTAAGATAGACGAGTACCTCAGAAGTAGCAATATGCCATACAGTGGTACCTCGGGTTAAGTACTTAATTCATTCTGGAAGTCCATTCTTAACCTGAAACTGTTCTTAACCTGAAGCACCACTTTAGCTAATGGGGCCTCCTGCTGCCGCCGCAACGCCTGAGCCCGATTTCTGTTCTCATCCTGAAGCAAAGTTCTTAACCTGAAGCACAATATCTGGGTTAGCAGAGTCTGTACCTGAAGCATATGTAACCTGAGGTACCACTGTATTTAAAAGAAGAACAAAGGAATATTCTTAATTCCTAGATAACAATGCAAGAATTACTTGAGGCAATAAAAAACTCTAAAAATGGCAAGTCTCCAGGCCCGGATGGTTTTACGGCAAAATATTACAAGAAATTAAATGAACAATTAGCGAACCCACTGAAAGATGTCATGAATGAAATATTGAACACAGGCGAAATCCCAGAAACATGGAAACAGGCCTAGGTAAAGGTAAAGGAACCCCTGACCATTAGGTCCAGTCGTGACCGACTCTGGGGTTGCGGCGCTCATCTCGCTTTACTGGCCGAGAGAGCCGGTGTACAGCTTCCAGGTCATGTGGCCAGCAGGACTAAGCCGCTTCTGGAGAACCAGAGCAGGGCACGGAAACGCCGTTTACCGTCCCGCAGGAGCGATAGCTATTTATCTGCTTGCACTGCGTGCTTTTGAACTGCTAGGTTGGCAGGAGCAGGGACCGAGCAATGGGAGCTCACCCCGTCACGGGGCTTCAAACCGCCAACCTTCTTATCGGCAAGTTCTAGGCTCTGTGGTTTATGCCGGATACAGCATATTTTTAGAATGGGAGACAAAAGATGAAGAGTTAAAATCAGTTATGATTAAATGGGCACAAAATGTAGGTCACAACATTATGATGGAAGATTGGGAAAAATTATGGAAAACTGATTTAAAATGTACAGATTGTTCCCTATTGAAGGAGAATTACATGAAGATGATGTCTAGATGGTACACAACACCAGTGCAGTTAGGGAAAATGTACAAAACTAGTTCAAATATATGTTGGAAGTGTAAGGAAAAGGAAGGGATATTTTATCATATGTGGTGGGATTGTAATGTAATTAAAAAAAATTTGGGAAATGATATACAATGAATTGAAGAAAATGTTCCATTTAACATTTGTTTAAAAACCAGAGGCATTTTTGTTGGGGATTGTAGGGAAAGACCTGCCAAAAAAGCTGAAAAACATCTTCATGTATGCAACAATGGCCGCGAGAGTTCTGGTAGCAGAAGGATGGAAGACTGAAGAAACCCCAACTAAAGAATCATGGCAAGAAAAATTGATAGACTATTGAGAACTGGCCAAATTGACATATAAGCTACGGGACAAGGATAACTGTGACTTTAAAGATGAATAGGAACCCTTTACAAAGTATCTGAAGATGCAACAAAGTGAACTGGACTCCTTGGCTGGCTTTGAATAAACATTCACAAACTTTTTATTGATAATAATCAGCTAAATAGTTTGAGGATCTATACAATTTTGTAATACGCAGAAAACAGCATTTTTAGAGAAATCAAAGACTGGAACTGTGGGAGGGTGGGGGAGGGAGGAAAAATGGGGGGGGAAACAAGGATGATATGTTTTTGGATAATATGTCTTGTTTTAATTTTGAATAAAATTTTTAAAAAATGAAGAGAGGTGTGCTTGGTTCAGGAAGCACACATTTTGGGCAGGTTTGCCTTAAAGGACAAACAAAACCAAACTTCCCCCCACTCCTAACACAGATACTCTTTCAACAAAATGAAGAAACTCAGCTCTTGAGAATGTGGGATAGCTCAGTCGATAGAGCATAACTCAACCTCAGGGTTGTGGGTTTGAGCCCCACGTTGGGCAAAAGTTTCCTGCATTGCAGGGGTGGGACTCGATGACCCTCGTGATCCCTTCCAACTCTACAGTTCTGTGATCCCCTTATTTTCCCAGTCTGGCAAAGCCACCTGCAGCCCGCACCTGAAAGGGGGCCCACAGGCAGAAGGCAGCAGAAGAGGACCTTCCAAGGGAGCAGATCCCGGGCACAGCCAAGAGCGCCAGGCAGGAGCCCCAGCTGAGCCTGACTTCCAACAAGGAGCGGTTCCTGGTGCTCCTCATCCCTGGCCGCATCCGCAGCCTGCAGGTTAGGGGGGCGGGCTTCTATTTATTTCCTGCCCTCCTCCCGGAAAGGCCCTGATTCACCAGCCCCTGAGAAATGCCTGCCCAGGCAACAATGGGTTTCTGCTTTATGGAGTATCTGATCTGCTGCTCCTCCTTCTCCCTTAAAAAAAATAAAATCCTTGAAAGGGCTTCTATTTATTCTCGGGTGTGATCATCAACGCCCTCAAGACAAGCACATCCTCAAAACACCCAGCCTTCCGCCATCCGCCTCCTGGCTCTTCTTTGTAACAAAATGCAAATCTCTTCCTCCCGCTTTCAGTTAAAAAGGGAGGGGGCCTCGCATGAGTCAGAGAAGGGCTGGATGTCAAGATGGTGGAGATGCCCAGCGATTATGTATCAGAGCAAGAAGGACATTTGCTTATTTACGGGATGGAGAAGCCTCTGCTGAGCAGGCGGGCCTCCCTCCCTTTTTTCCAGGAGAATGCAGAATCAATTTTTGTAATCGCTTCTGAGCTGAATTCGAGCAAGGAATTTAGTGTAACACTGCTCCCATATATATTTAACATTATTATTCTTGCATTAAAAAATATAACTCCAAGGCCAGAAAAGAAAAGAGGAAGGAAGGAAGGAAGGAAGGAAGGAAGGAAGGAAGGAAGGAAGGAATCAGCTAATATGCACTTCAGAATAAATATCAATCCAGCATAGCTGTCAACCTTCCCTTTTTTTGCGGGAAATTCCCTTATTCCAGCGCCGTTTCCTACTGCTTCCCACTGCTATCCTGGATTGTTAGATATCCTGTAGACTGTCCCTGGGACAGGTGAGGCTGCTGATCCCTCATTTTCAAATCTGAAAGTTGACAGCTATGATCCAGTGGGGTTTAAAACAAGCACATATGTCCATTTCAAGCAGTAAATCAAAATTGTTCAGTCTAAATAAGATCTCAGCATCAATTACACATCTCTCTAAAATTAATGGACTCTAAACTATCAGACAAATCAAAAACTTCAGCCCCATGGGAGTTGCCTTCCATCTGCCTGGTTGTGCCAGCTCCTTTCTCTTGACCCACAAACTCTCCCTCCTCCTCCAGAAAGAGGCAGCTCAGCCCTGGAGCCTCTCAGTCGGGCTGCTTGCTGGTGGTCACCTCCCAGTGAGATCTCCATCCTTTTCTTCTCTATCCCCTTTTGTGATTTCAAATAGAGCCTGCTTGTGTAAAAAGTGCCTTCAGTTAGGGATGGAGAAAAATTAGTTTCCCATTTACATTTAAAGGTAATCTTACCCAATTTGCAACTCTCTAAAGACACACACACACACACACACAGAGAGAGAGAGAGAGAGAGAGAGAGAGAGAGAGAACTAAAACACAGAACCACTCTTCAAAATGTGCAATTCAGTTCTCCAGCCAAGTAAAGAGGAAAAAAAATAGCCTATATGTACTCGGGTTAAAGTGTTCATAAAAATGCATGTGACATACAAAACCACATTATTTTAGGGAAAATTGCTTTGCAAAAATGGGGATATAAGGCCAAGTGGCATATAAACACATGCATATTAGGAGAAAATTGCATTAAACATGGGTGACGTTTTACAGAGACTATTTCTAAAAATTGCAAACTGATGTGGAAATATGGAACTGAACTTAAGATCTGAAAAATGAGAAACAGAGAGAAACTGAAAGTGACAGAATTTCCCTTCCTTGCCTTCAGTGTCAAAAATGAAGAGCCAGGATCCCCATCACGTGACACTAATCATGTGACACTTTCACTAAATATGAGAAGACCTGACCACCTCAAAAGAGCCTCCATATTTGGGGTGGATAGGGTGTGCCAGCTCCAGGAAGGAGAGCCAGTTTCATCTCCAAACATGTTGGGAGTCAGTTTGGATTCAATTTCCTTAAAGTCTCGTGCCTGATTGTTTTCACCGCTCATCTTTCGGCTCTGCAGCTGTTGGCCTCTAGTCCACCCATCTGCAGCCAGTCCAGAAAACTCTCCCACCTGGAATGAGAGCTCTGCAGAATCTGTTTCTTTTTGTAAATAATTTTTATTAGCTTTTCAGATATACAGATAGTTCTCAGCTACATTATATTATCAAAAGAATAGTCATTCTTATAATTGTATACAGAATAAACGGTAAAGCAATATAATAACAATTTCTTTAAGCAAACAATACAAAACAAGCCAGAGGTTTATAATAGCTTGGAAATTTATACTTAGGGATGTAAAATGGGCAAATAATCCAGATTCAGTAATCATAATTGAAATCAAAAGCAGAATCATAAAATCCTTCTATGTCAAGGGAAACTGATCCAAACATTCAGTTTACATTATGTTTAATGTTTTGACCAAATCCACTCATAAGCAAGAGAGGGTTCTGGACCACGTTCCTCCTTACCCACAAATGAGATAAAAACGAATTCAACTGTTACAAAATTATCCTTCTTACTTTGGCCCCTGGTAACTCCTAATTTGCCTGTTAATCTCTCTGAAATCGCTGTTTATGTTCCATGTCACAGTCCAGTTGCAATCATACACTTTGGAATAATTGTGCTGTGAATGCTCTGTATCAAAGGGCCTTAGGAGCACAGGATGGTGCCCTCAGAAGCTGAGCTATGCCACAAATCAGTGACAGAAACATAATCACCGCTATCACAGGTGTCGTCGTCATGCAATCATCAGCATTCGATCA